AGCGTGGCGGTGCCGGGTGAGGAGCGGCGGAGTGCGGAGGGGCTGTGGGCGCTCAGCTGTGGTCTGAGGGGGCGTGTATTTGAGCCCCCTTCCGCACCGAGACCCGCCGACGGAGGGGGCAGTAAAGGCGAAGCGCCTCGGCCGTGGGGGGAACGGTGCGACCCTGCAGGGCTGGACAGGGAGCAGCAAAGGAGCGGAGAGCAGCTGAGGGGGTATTTTCATACGGCAGGGGTTAGTGATCCTCGGGACAAATATCTTCTCCCGCTTACCTTCACGGGCGTCTATTTAAGAAGGCACACACAAAACTTCAGTATCTAAAGTTCAGTCCTTTCTTCTGTATCTGCTGTTCCCTTTAACTGATTATGCTTGCCTCTGAAAATCAAGGATCCACGATTACCAAAACAAGATCAGGAACTTTGTTGTGCGGAAAGCCTGGGACACCAAGAGCTAGTTAGAGCGCTCAGTCTGCTTGGGTCTGCTATCGGGGTTCCGGATTCCACAGGCCTTTTCCTCCCGAAACATCAGCTGCCTACCCCTGAGCTACTGCCCGAGAAAACTGCCTGCATAGGTTTTGAGGAATTTGAAAAGCTTAAATCTGAAAAGCTTCTCTTTTATAAATGACACGCGATCTATGTATAAACATGAAAATACACCCAGGGTGATCCTTTAGACGTCCCTCAAGGCAACGAGAAGACTTAGTGTGGTAACTTTGACATGCTTGGTGACTTAGTTGTACAACTCAGCTCTTCAGGATTTCTCCATCTGTCACTGTCGGTTTGTGCTTTCAGTAAACATGGGCTTTTTTAACCAGTATGCTTGAAAAAAAATCAAAAATTTGGGTAAAAATGTGGTGTTGAAATGCTGCTAGTTTTAATGGTTGTCACTTCTCATCAGACTAATGCTGTTTAAAGGTAGTTTACTAAGAATTAATTTTAAAGCAGTTTTAAAAAATGGACCTGAAATTCACTACATTTAATGTCTTTCCTTTCTAGCCCTGTGTCTTGTTTAAGTTTTATTTTGTTGTGTGCTGTTGTTTTGGGTTTTTTTTCTTTTACACTTAGATAATTGCTCATGTTTAGGGCTTTACAGTTTCATTTATCATCTCCATTCTGCAAGGCTCAGATCTTGCTTTTCTTCCTATTTTCAAAGGACTTTCCCTTTCCCTTCCCTTCATTTTCTTTTGTTTATTTTTGTTTTTTCTTAAAAAATATTTATTTAGGTCTCTCTGCTTGTTAAACAGTATTCTGTGCTGCAGAGTGACATGGAAATATATAATGTGATTTTGTTTAAACCAAATAGAACTAATTTCTGTTAAAAGTAACAAGTAGGTAAAAGCTGGCATCAACATGTTTTCTCTGGCCTTAATAAAAAGGCCATTGTTTCTGTCTGGGGGAAGCCAGATGCGCTCCTACAGGTACAGCAGTAAGTCTGAACAACCAGTTGTACTAAGCAAGGTGCAGTACAGTGACCTTGCAGTTAATGGTGTAAATTAAGGGGCCAGGAGACCTTCAGCTCCCTTTAATAAGCCTTTATTAGAAAGAACTAAGCCTAGAGGTGGGGGCTCGGGGTGTGCACCGCTGCTGCTGCTCCCCGTGGTTGATGTGGAAGAGGAGGACCACACAGGCCTGTCGTCATCCACTGATGAGATGACTGGAGCCTCTATCCTTGTCAGGATCACCCAGAAACTCTGTTTAAGGTTTGAAAGTCCAGGGATGTCTTCCCTCTCAAGTCCTGCCTAGGTCATGGTGACCAGCTTGCCAGACTGACATTGGTGTACCCAGTCTCCCCAGGTCCCCACTGCCTCCACAGTGTGGTCCTCCAGATGTTTCTTGAGAGTGGCTCGTTGTCCAGGGCTGTCTTCGCTCCCAGGTGGTAATATGATTTTAATATGCACCCGTGTGCAAGTCTTTATGGGAAATGCAGAAGTTCATCCTGGGTAGCAGCGGCTGAATTACCCGACGGGTTGGAAGGGAGTAAGGGGTGGGGGTACAAATGCAATGATAAAACAAGTACGAACTTCTTAACAGTGAGCCCTTTTGGGGCCTACAACACCAAAACCCCTTATCCAGGGACTTAAACTGGGATTGAAACAAGAACATATAATTTGAACATAGGGATTTTTATTTATAACAATATTAGGATTTTTATTTATAACAGTTAATAGTGAACAGCTCGTGGGATTTCTGGGCTATGACCTTGCACCGATCTCTGAGTGGTCTGTGGAAGTGAGCAGTGTCACAGGGCTTCAGCTGAACTTCTCTTCCATTTATTGACATCTTCCCCCATTCTCACATTTTGATTTACTTGTCAACCCATGGGTCATGCAATTCATGAGATGAAGGTTGGTATAATAGTGAAGGTGAAGAGATGTGACTCTTAAGTGTTTGGGAGGCTCTTCTTCTTTTATGACCTGTGTTAAATATTTCAATTAAAAACAACCTCCTTTCTTTTCAGCATCTACCTTGCAGTCCTGCTGGAGTCTTTTCATGGCTTTTGATTTTCTTAATTACCTCTTCGACTGTGTCACTTTATCAGCATCCAAAAAAATAAAGGACAGAAAATAGTCAGGATGAAGAAGTCATGAATTACAAACACAAATTGGCTTTTGGAGAAAAGTTCAAAAACTAGTATGTAGTCACAGAAAGTTCAGTGTTCTTAGAGTGTTCTAGTGTTCTTAGAGTGTTCTTTTTTTCACCTGTTGTTTCTGATTCTTCTGGTTGAACTCAATATAGTGCATCCAAGGTTTAGAAGATGGCTTAAAATTCCTAGGTTAGGAGGCAATTTCAGGCATGCAGAGGTGACTATCAGAAATAAAGGAATGAAGCTGATTTTACGCATGTGTCAAATTTACAGTCTGTGGAAGAATCTAAGATGGGGATTGGAAATGGCTTGCTATTTAAAAATGGTCTTTGGTTTTAAAATGACTGTAATCTTTGTTAGACACTAACTTTCTTGGTAATATGTACATAAATTTAAAACATGTAAGGAAAATGTATTATAATATTTTCAGTGCATCCAAATGGCTGGGTCATCTAGGTACAACAGCTGGAGGCTGTTGGTTTTGGTAAAGGTGCAGCTCTGTGTGATGCCATCTGTAAGCCTCCACCACCATTTCCGTCTTGGAGCACACTCTGAGTTCAGGTAAATTGTGTTCACGCTCATGTTTAGAGGACTTAATGAAATACATGAACAATACTAAAAAATTTGGATTTTAAAATAATGTAAGGCACCATTTTTCTTCCTGTTGCTTTCCTGCCCCTTTGCTAACAGTTGTATCCCATATTTAACTGGATTTCTTGCAAGGAGTTAGTGTGTTGAAGTTCTCATCATGATTTGGTTTTTTGGATGTTACAAGAATGGAAACACTGGATACTTGAATTTGTCTGAAATGAGTTTATATTAATCCTTAAAGCTATATATAGATTTGTTTATTTTAGAAAATTACTATTTATGCAGACATGAAAGATTGTGCATGATTGTCCTGTATTGCAGAAGTCAGCATTTGAAAATAACTGATACTTTGTGTAATTAAGGGAACTTAATTGAGACTTGGCATTTAGCGTGTATTTGAAAATCAAAGGGGAATAAAGACCATTTTCTGACTGCATTTTGATGTGAAGGGAATCTTTTACTGAACCATATATTTTTCATTCTCTTAGTCCAGCATTACAATTAAGATGTGTGGTTTCATATTACTAGGTCATCTGTAACTGCTGTGTGAACATTGCAGTCTGCTTGGTAGCACAGTTCTGTAGCACATCTGAATTCTGTATACACTGCAGCTTTTGAGGTACAGTCATCAGCCTTGCAGGGCAATTACTAGCCCCAGTGTGTTTAATGTATACCATGGAGAAGGTAAAAAAGCTTTCTTCCTTCTGTGAAGAAAAATTCAGAACAAAGTTAATGTTCTCAGGGGAAATGTGGTGCCATTTAAGAAAATCAGAGTTATCCCAGTTGTGTAAGTAGAGTCAATAAAAAATTCAAGTAGTGATTTAATGACTGGACATTGACCTAAAGCATGTTACAGCTTTGACTAACTTACAGTGAAATTATTTGAAGCAGTGAATTACTGCTGTTGCATATTTTTGTTAGACACATTCTGAGTTCACACAAAATTTCTATAAATGCAATTAGAAGCCAAATTAAGGAGCATCAGCTTATCATCAGCAACATTAAGTGATTTGAAGTGCTGGCCAACTAGCAAATAGAGCTGGAAGCAGTAAGCTCCTTTCATGGTCCAGATCTGGGACCTGTGATAGCACTTTATGCTTTACAACCTACCACTTGGTTACTGATTAAGCACCATTTATCACATGAGAGAAATAACATCTATTCTGTAATTCTGTCTGTAGTATTCTGGATATTTTTAAAACTGTTTTTGCATATTTATCTTCTTCAATTTTGAGATTCAAGTTAATCCCAAAAATACAACTCTTAAGAACTCATTTAAATTCAACTGGTAGAAACTGAATTGTGTGAGGGCCTGGTTTTAGACAACACAACCAGTTTCCATGATAGTGGTCACAGAAAGGGTGTTCATGTTATTCGGATATCATACTTAATGCATCTGTAACTCTGTCTTGGAAATGGTTAAGAACAGCACGACTCTGACTCAAGGGAGAAGTAGTTTCTGAGAAATTTAGGTTGGTGAGAATAATGCTTTTGGCAACTAAGAGTTTAGGATTACTATGAATGACTATGTAACAGTTTCAATAATTTTTTTTCCCTTTATTTTGTAATACATTTTTGTTGAAAGATAAAATTGTATAAGTTTAGATGAAAACAGAGTTAGTAGGTGTATAAAAATGCAATGAAGTGCACTTGAGAAGTAGTAGAGTGCATAGTTGCACTCTTTGTTTATTAGATATGTTTCTTGTAGCTTTTATAATGTATGTGTATATTTGGTGGATATCAGGACCTTATAAATAATAAACATAATTTGTATAGAGTACAGACAATAAACCGGTGCCTCTGAAAACAAGAGAACATGAAGATTACATGTTGGCCTTGCAACAAGATCTTCGAGGAACTACAAAAAAAAATGCCATACTTTTTGACAGTAGGAGATGAACATCAAGGTTTGTTTGTGTGCTTTTTATTTTTATTTCTATCTTTACGTATTATTCTGTGAAGGCTGATGTAGTGAGAAGCATGAGTTTCATATGTAAAAACGACAGCTTAAGCTAATAGGGAATTTTTCTGCTTTTACATTTATTGAAGTGCTATAACTAGAAAGCAACTACTGTGTGGAAAAGTGAGGTATCCAGTATCTATTCCACAGTAATAAACATTTCGACCATCTACATGCAGCCTTTTCAATTATATGCTAGCCAATACAAGCCAATTTAGTATTTCTATGTGTTACAATACCCTAAAGATTTTCTTTAGGAAAAAAAAAGAAAAAAAATGTAGTGAATACTAGTGTTGAATTCAGCTTTCATAGAAAGTGTGTAAAGACATATTCAAAATAATCAATATTCTATTTAATATATGGAAATTCTAAAAGGTACTCAGTTTTGTTTCCCGTAAGTCCACTCAGGAAATACTAATAAGTGTTACAGACAAATCTCCTGAAATACGAAGACTGAGGTGAGAATTAGTGATTTACTGAAGTTTTATCAGAAGCAGAGCTGGATTAGAAGCCAAATCTTGATCTTATTCTGTGGGACCTAAGATTTTCTTTTGCTTACACATAACTAAAAATTAATTGCTTTCTTATTGTTTGATAACAATAAATGCTGGAGTTAATTTGACATCCAGTCACACATCATCATACAGTTAAAATTCAAGCTTCCTAGTCATCAAACTGAGCTAGTGGGAAAGAAGTGGAACAGAAAGACTTATTTGTCTATTTAGCATACTGTGAGGGTATTGTAAATCTAGAAGTCAGTGGTGATTTTTACTGTGAGAAGTGCTTTTTTTTAATTCATGTTTTTTTGCCTAGTTTTATTAGCTGCTGAGTGCTTATTCTGAATGTTATAAATGGCAAGTGCTGTTACGGCTTTATAAAAGTGTTTAAAAAACCTGAAGTGGCTAAATGCGGGATAATCTTTTCCTTCCTATCCTGAATAATGAGAGCTGACTTAAACTCTAAAATGTAAGGTGTCATTTTCACCTGAAACCCATCAGAATATTTTCTGGTTAAATATTCATGATGTTGATAGTATACAGGTGCATAATCTAATCCCCTCAGAACTTTTGGTAATTTCTGCTTATGGTGTAATGGTAAATTCTAGGTGTTTTTGAAACTGTATGCAATTTTTTTTTTTTTTTAATTAGGCTTTGAATGTAATACACCTTTTTGTCCAATTGTTCGTGTACTAAAGCCATATATAAAGTGGAGCAGCACCGTGCAGTGTGATCAGTGAACACAGTGACAGCCAGATGTTGTGGCTCAGAAAAGACAGAGTATTTCCCCTGATCTGCAGCTGGAGCCCAGGTGGTGCAACCAGGTAAAACAGGTCATGAGGAGAGAACAGATCTGATCCTTATTTCTAGATCCCTTTATGATGGTAGAAGAATTTTGGGTTAATCTTTTATCATATGTCCTCTTTCATCTTCTGGATAAACAAGTTTCAGTATCTTTGGATTTCCATCTCACTAGAGTCTTGCTGTGCTCTTGATCTTTGTCAGGCTTGAAGTTTGCTATTTCTGGTAGAGGCACAAAAAAGGAAACTGCTGTGTCTGAGAACCAGCCAGGGTTATTTCCAGTGAACCAGCTGCTTTATGAGACAATGTTATCTCTCTTTTCTGACTTTACCTCATGTGATTGTTCTCACTGTTCACCTCAGTATTATGTTTGTCCCTGAAATCTTCTTTCTCAGATGGACAAGTCTCTCTGTGTTGCTGAGTGTATTCCTTAGTAGAGTTGCCAGCTTTGAAAACTGTTTTTTTCCTACCAGAATTGGCAGTTTCAGGGAAATCAGGTAGACAGCCACTTTATAGATTCAAATAATGCTTCAAATATTCTCATCACCACTGCAAGGGTAAGTTGGTAAGTTGAGGTATCTTTTTACAAAATCTGTAATTGCACAAAAATGGCACATCTGAGGGATGGGTTATAATTGCATCAGTGATAGAGTGCAATTTAAAAAGCTTGTTTTCATCTCAGTTGCAATGTGCAGTTGTCTCTGGGACTGCTTTCTGTGGTAAAAGTGGTCTAGCTTTAAGAAGACGGTAGATTATTTATAACTGATGTCTTCTGTTACCTGGTTTACAAAACATTTTGTAAAACTAAGAGGGTATTATAGGGTGGGCTTTAACTTCATAAACTGTCTTTGCTAGAAGAGTGAATGGATTGTTTTAAAACCTCAGAACAACATCTGTGAGCCAAATGGTCCTTTGAAGTGTGAGAAGGGAAATGTTTTAATTAGTTAGGATGTATCTGTCTATCTTCCATTTTTCATGCAGCAAATGAAAGCTATATCTCATTCTACCTGGAAATGTTGATGTTAATGTGCCATAAAGCATAGATTTCCATCATTCAACACTCTTTTTGAGAATAGCAGGCATATTCTATAGAAAGTTCTTTATTTACCTCACCATGTAAGTTATGAATGACTCATCTTTTCCCTGTAAGTGTATCTGCCAAAACTGGGCAGTGGTTTGGCAATGGTTTGGAATTAGTTCATTAGTTGTGAAGGGCAAAAGTCAGTCAATATATATTTTTTCTGACGACATCAGCAATTATTTCTTCACTAAAGAGCCTTGATCTGAAATTAAAACTACTAGTTTATTTTCCTCTCTTTGCTGATAGTTTCCTACATCTATGAATGCCCCTTGAGACACTGTTATTTTAATTGTAGACTCTGTTGCACAATTTTGAGGTTTTCTATTTGCCTTCTTAATAACTAAGTTTAAGATTTAGTTTAATTTATGATTTTTTCTTTTTCCTTGGCGAGTACCTGAAGGATGGGATTACATACATAGAGACCTTGACAGCCTGGAGAAGTGGGTGTGTGGGAATTTTATGTGGTTTAATAGAGTGAGTGCAAGGTGCTGCACCTGGCCATTGCCAGCAGGTTGAGGGAGGGATTATTCCCCTCTTCCCTGCTCTGGTGGGACCCTACTGGCAGTTCTGCATAAGCTCTGGGGTTCCAGCACAGGGAGGACCTGTTGAAGCCAGTCCAGAAAAGGCCACTCAGCTGGCATCAGAGGGATGGAGAACCTCTCCCATGAGGAGAGACTGAGAGAATTGGGACTATTCAGCCTGGAAGGGAGAAGGCTTCAGGCTGACCTAATTGCAGCCTCCAGTATCTGAAGGGAATTTACATCACTGGGAAGCATGGTGCTGAAGGTAGACTGTAAGATTCAACTGAAAATTAATTATTCATTTGCAAAATGTCCAAAGGTGCAATCAGAATATACCAGGTTTTATTCCAAAAGAAGAACCAATGGGCTTTTATAAGCCTGTGCGCAATAGTTTTTGCCCTGAGATCTAGTGAAATAATAAATGAAGATTATTATCGCTTGTTAAAAAATGTTGTGATTATCATAAAAAGAGAATCACTGCTCACTGGAGGCATTTTTCTTTCTTCAGTACTAGTTTCTCTACTGGCTGTTAAAAGTACATTCCTTTACATGTTATAATAGCAAAGATCAGCTGACCATCAGACTTTGATTTGATTAAGAAACAGGTTCCCCTGAAAGCAAAAGCTGTGTTGGTTATAATATTTATATATATATATATACACATATACACACACACACACACACATATATAAGCCTATGGGTTAGGGGTTTTTTGTGGATTCATGATGATGCATTTAGGGGTTTTTTTGTGGAATCCTGATGATACAGAGTTACATATGAATCAGGAAGTTTGTACATAGCTTATCAGTGACCCATTAGAGCTCCTGTACATGTCTTTGTTGTATTTTGAGGACAGATAACATAGGTGACACTTTAACCATGGTGGAACAAAGGTGAACAAATCACCAGACTTTGCAGAAAAACTCAAACCAGGGTACTGTTCTACATTTTTAGCTTGCAGGAGTGGTTTGGGGAGCACTACAGTTCCATGCAGAGGGGCAGCTTTAATTTCGCACACTCCCCTCCCTCTTTCTGGTTTCCCTGAATGTTTTAACTGAAGACCTAACCATCTGCCTTCTCAGTGACAAAACTTTGGGTAGAATTCCATATCTCTCCCACAATGACCCTGGGCTGTGAGATGCAGTATTAGATACCAGCAGTACCTGCTGAAAAAACCAAACAACTCCATAAATAAATAAGATAAATAACAATGTCATCTGGCTTCAGTTGACATTGTAGGCCAGCCATATGCAAAGGAATATAGCACTCAAATGTATGCATTTTAGCCCAAGTACTGCAAGACTAGGTTTTTGGAAATTAGATTGGATTGGATTGGATTCCATTGCACCTCTAATGTATATAATGTAGGGAGCTATTTTGTTTGAAGTTCTAACAATGGGTCAGTGTTTCTAATTTATAAGGGACAAAGATGCCCAGCTTTTAGAGGCAACTCTCCCAGGTTTGTTTGTTCTATATGCATTATCTCTAAAAGCCAGACAGTTTGTGCAGAGATGACAGTTCTGAATTGCACTTTCTGCTTGTTCTCCTAGAAAGTCTACTTCATTCTAGATGTGTTTGCTTTGATGACACTCATGATTTTGCAAAGCAGCTTGCCTGCCCTGAGCTCTGTGAGTACTTTAGTCATATAATCCTTTCCTAGGCAAAACACTGGAATAAACTCAATGTTATTTATGACAAATGCTTTTGATAAAGTACGGGTGTTTTCTCAGCAGTTCCTGGTGTTCTGCTTCATTGAGTATTTGGGGAACTTTGGTTTAGGGTGCTGCCATTCAAGTAACTCTTACTTGGGCATGTGGAATTATGAGTTATTTTTGATCTTTGCTCCACCACGTAGTTAATCAGGGAGTAATGTGATAAAGAATATGTCCATGAATCAGGGGACTAAGTAGAAATACAGAACATAGATTCATTAGATGAGAGCCAACTGTAGTCCAAAAGCCATGTAGCTATAGTAATCATGTCTTCTTTTAGAGCTAATGAACTTCTGCCTTTTTTTTTTACTTCTACTTGTCTGAAGCCCCATCATTAATGTCCTGTATAAATCGGTAAAAATGAGTTTTTAATCTTTCCAGGATGATTAAACATAACAATTGAGATTTTGTTCTAGTTTCTTAAAATATTTTAACTGTAGAGGTGACTATTATTTTGTGAATCTGAATGTCATACTTTAGCCCAGCCTTTGTCAACTGCTTGTTCAAACTGTGTTTCAGACTGGCTTTCTAGGCATCTCTTACACAAATCAGACATTTACATCTCTATGAATGATGTAGCTCAAAGTCTAAGGTTGTTTTAATACAGACAGTATGGGACCTCCATGGAATACTCAGGATGAATTTACTCCTAAGAATAAAACAAGAAAATCTGTCTTTTTCACATAAAAAAAAAAAATAACAGTGATGTATTTTATTTCACCAGGTGCAAAACAGAAAAGGCAAAAAAAGCTCTGAGCCTAAAAGTAATCTGTATGTGATTAAAAAAATGGAGGTAAAATATGCATACTATTTCTAAATTTTATAATAGAAATTGAAGGAAAATGAAACCTAGTATCTTTATTAATACAAACAGAATAACCAGCACAGAGTTTTTCTGGTTGTGTCTTGTTACTCTGACAGACAACTGTTCTGCAGCGTGATGGTGTGCAAGGGTTAGGGTAAGAATAGTCTGGTTGTGGAGAAATTACTTTTTTTGCTCTTGTTTGTACCTGAACACAACAACTAATTGCTCTTCACTGGGTAGAAATACTGCCTAATGTGAGCAGTAGAGCTACTGCTGGAGCTTACAGGAAGGACTGGTGTCAGTGCTTTTAAATCTGCCTCTGTTTCACCAATCTACTGATGTTAGAAGTTAAACAAGTAAGTTGAGAAGGATGAAACATACAGAAACTTAGGAATTGATCTGTTTTGTAGGCAATTACTTACCATATGGCAATGGAACATTAAAGGTGAAACAGCTTTGTATTTTTCCTCCTGGTGATCCACCAGGTGTTTGAAACAGTTCTATTACCAAATACAGTATATGGTATTGCTTTGTCAAGAATGACATGGCCTTCTGTCAACTGTTCTAACAGTGTATTGTAAAGGGAAATAATCATCTCAGTTTATTATACAGGATATGGATTTTTATGACTGATGCTTGACCAAGTAAATTCTTATTAAGTTCTTGTGCTTCACATCATATTGGTTTAAATATTGACACACAACATTTGCACAGCATTGCTATGCTAACTGTCTTGCAGTTAAATGTATCTTAACTCTTTAGTAGTATGGAGGACATGCTGTTGCTGTAACACGGGATTATCTTGTTAAGAGATTGTTTTGTGACAGGAGCTAGAAAAGAAGGATGAAGAGGAAGAAAAATCTGGAGAAAGACAAAACAAAAGACAAAGAAGGTGAAGATAATGAAGAAGCAGAAGAACCAGAGGAATATGATGAAGAAGACCATGGAGAGGTATAATGTTAGGTTCTTATTTACATGGAGTCAGATCCCAGTCATTGATAGTGTGTTGGCTGGCAAAGACATGTCCATAGCTCCCAGTAAGGCAGAGTTGTTGTGCAAGAAATTATTGCATTCATGATCGTTTTTCCGCTACATTGTATTGTAAATTTGAGTGTTCTAGACTTGTTACTCACAAAGAGCTCTGAAAAAAGATCTTGTACACAAGAATGTGTTCTGACACGATCAATACAATCACTCCTTTACATCACTAAAAGAGTGATGCCTGTTGTTTCATATATATCAAAGCTTCATTACAAGATTTTTCTTTTTCTTTCTCAAGAATCTATTACCGTTTAAAAGTGTGGGTGCTCAAGTGCAGTTCAAATCATATTTCTTCTATAAATTGTCTTCTCTACACACATAGTGATTTTTTTTTCATTGGTTTAGGAAAACGACTACATTTTTTTCCTGTTTTGAAGATGGAGATGCCTTTGGTGCTGTCAGTGATGGCAATATGGTTAAAACAACACAGTAGCTGTTGTTTCTACCTGTTATACTGCTCCAGCCTTATAGTACTTGAAGCTGAATTCCTGAGGTAGGCTGAGTATCAATGACTTAATGCTTTAGCTGTCCTGGTTTTAAGGAGATTCTCCAAAAACACATTGGAGTTTAACTGTACTATGCTGTAAAAGAGGACAGGGAATTCTTTGTTTTGTTCTTTTGCAAAGTGTTTTGCAGACATGTCTTTTTAAGGTCCTCTGGAAAGCCTAGAGTAAGCTTTATACCATTGCGTTTCCTCTGCACAAAACCAAAAAGTATGCATTTTACTAGAAATTATGTCTTGCACTACTCAATTCTATGCCTCAACAGTAAAATCGTGAAACAAATAATGAAGTTCTTGATGACCACTGCAAAAAAAAATACATACAGTCTTTATGGACATAAACTGCTTGTTGGCAGCTGACTCCTCTGAAGAACTTTATGTAAACTTCTGAGTTCAGGTAACTGAAAACAATTGACAACTATGTACTTCCATATAAACTGACTTGGAATGACCTTGTTAATATAGGCAAATAACATGACAATAATTTGAAGGACCATTTGTCTAGTTAGAACATACTGCCTTTAGTATTTTGGTAAAAAGGAACACAGTTAAATATATTCCCTTTATGAATCAGCATAAACCATAATTAAGGATTATTTGGCTTAGAAAGAATATATGGCAGAATTTAAGAAATTATGGATGTCTGCTTTAGACTGGTGCACTCACTAGTGATGAAAATTTGAGCCCTTTGCCTCAGTTTCTCCACCTGTTAGGGCAATACTTTCTTATCTAGAGCTGTAAAGTGAGCTGGCAGATGATAGTTATCTATGTAATTGTTGATTACTTGTTTACTTTCCTACAAAACAAACTAGACAGAAACAGATAAAAAAAGCAATAATAAACCCCTAAATATAGGAAAGGAATGTGGTATTTTAATGCATGTATTAATTTGAAAAATAAGAGAACGCTAAGAAAAAGCTGAATGTTTGGAAACATCTTTTTATTTGAGAACCAACAGCTGCAGTGTTGAAATAGTGTTATTAGTGAGATTAGGTATTTGAAGAACATTGTGACAGCACATTCTCTGTATCTTACGGTTTTTTGATAGCAAAAAATACTATTTTATTTCAACTACATTATTAGCAATCAGGGGTTTTGGGCTTTCTTTGTTGGTTGATTTTGAGGTTTTATTTTCTTTGAAAAGGTAATTCACCTCACTGGTGACCGGGAAACAATTTTGCATTATTCTGTGAACTTCTGTATGCAGCAAGAATTTGGTCCTTAAGATGTAATTTTCAAATATTATGATAAAATACCTATCATATATAAAGGACATTAAACTAAAATTCTATGCAGGTCACACCTCAGAGGTATACTACTTTTAATTTGAAGTGTTGTTGACTGCAAGGTGTAATAAACATTCAGCTGCATTGCACAGGAAATGTATTCTGCCAGTTAATTTCTTTTTTAACACCACACATAGCAGCAGCTGTTTCTTGAATGCGTGTGCCTGTTTCTTTTGTGTGATATACAAAACACAGACGGAAGATGTGAAAGAGGCAAGTATGGTGAAAACTGAATTCACCTGCTGTGACTATAACTGCTTCTGTTAGCTGTTCTCCCCGTGCAAGATGAAGGATAAGACTCCTTTCCCCCTACAACAGGAATGCAAATAAATGGCTTTTGTCAAAGATGGAACTATAAAATTAACACTAGAAAAGAGTTACTGCATGAGTAACAATTTGTTGACAAGTTGTGGCTTGCCTGAACAAGTACAGTATCTTATTCAGCAGCAGACAGTAATTCTTGAGGACCAATTACTTTCACCATTCATCATTCTGCTAATGGGTAACTGCCTTCCTATTGCACTTTCTACTGCAACTACTGTTGAGAAACATTACTCTGTTAAAAATCAAGTAATTTTGAGTCCTTTAAGAGGTAAACTGCAGTCACCTCTTCCTGCAGAGGGAATTGCAAAGTCTTGGGTTGGACCCTTCAGGCTTAGTTTAGCTATGGTAAATAAGGTCATCGATTAGGAACAAGTACTGCAAGACACAGTGCTAAGGCACTTCTGAAAAGAGGTGAGATTGTGCTCTTCCAGAGGTGTAATGCTTGCACCTCTTTTCAGGAGCTGATTTTCTGATTGTTTAGAATTCATTGCAAGACTATAATGCCAACAAAGCTTATGACTCTTCTTTGGTTTTCAGCAAATTTCAAATATGGACAGGCATATATTCAAATCTTAATTTATATTGCTTTCAGTGTCATCTTACCATCTAAGAACGTCATTGATCCCTCCCTCAGTTGTTCATACCTGTTTCTGAGAACTAACAAGTTGTCTGAAATGTATGTAGAAAAGTTCAAAGTTTACAAGGCATGAACAGAATAAACCATAAAGGCTGCAGTTATGGTATACTAGATAGGAATGCTATATGCAGCTACTGCCAACAAAGTACTTGCTGGCCAGGAATTTTTACTGTACATCATACATAAAAATTGGCCTAAACAAATACAAGTAGTGGCCTGCTGTAGTAAAACATGCAAAGTATGTAAAACTAAAAATATATTACATGCACTATTTTCACTGCAGTCCATGATAAAATCTTTATTTTACATATATTACTTATGTTCTTTGAAAAGCAGAGGAGCAAAGTATTTAAAATAAGACTTGCATCCCCAATCAGAAGTATTTCACAAAGTTGTATTTTCAGCCCTTATAAAACTTACAAAGACTATTTGTGAGAACTTACTCCAAAGTATACCAGACTTAAAACATTTAGATTTTATATGATCCAACACTGTAAGTTTAAAACCCATTTCCTGAACAATGTGTTGCATTAATCCAAAAAGTGATTTACAACTCAATTATTCCATGTTTTTGTGAGGGAGTTTGGCTCTTTTTTTTGTTTGCTTTTGGGGTTTCTTTTGTTTATTTGTTTAAGAACTCAGCTTCTACAAGACTAACTTCACAGATTTTAACTTGAATCAGATTTAAGTTCCTCACAGAGCAGTTACCCTGTTTATTCAGGGCTGACATGTAATGATGAATTACCCGTTGTGTTGTATTTTGTAAAAAAGCTGTAAAGATTCCCACATTCTGCAGAGAGCCAAGCTTGATGGTTGTACTCCTCCTCCAGGATCAGGAGTCCTACAGTCTTGAAAAGAGATCTACTGTATCTTCCTGATAAAGTTAACTGAAATTAAAAATGTACTGTATGAAATATGCTACATAATACATATGTAAAAACATGCCAGGCTCTTGGTTAGAATGGAATATAGTCCAATCAAACTGCTTGTATTAAGGTAAATCAAGGCACATCACCCTTAACTCAGTGCAAGTATGCCACACGTCTTTGGCACTGTGAAAGCCCCAAGTCTGGGACACTCTAGAGGACTCTTCAGCTGTACCACTACAGGCCTCTGTATCAATGCAGCAGAGACTTTCCTGACCTAATCAAACCATAACTGCAGTTCGTTTCACTTCTGCACCCGTAGCAATTTAGTAACCGTTAGTTCAGGTATGTGCTGTAAATTAGGCTTATGCTGCATCATCACAATAGCTAATTTAATGTTCTTTGATCAATTCGTAAGAAAAAAAGGATAAAGTATTAGAACTGGTAAATTTCAGGAACAGAATGATGGGTGAAGGAGCAAAACAATAAAAACACTTGCAGCAAAAAAAATGATGCATTATATACCAAGTTTCATCCTATATAGAAAACATTTGTTTTTATGTGCTAAAGCTTTCTTGTCTGAGCGAGTCACCTTTTAAAGTTTTAACCATGAGAGCTGTTATCACTTTAGCTACCATAAATTACTTTGTGAAGCATTTTTTCATACAGCATTAGAACTGCTACCTCAGTGTTTATGCTTGACTTACTGGCATATTCTCTTAATGAAAAGAGAAACCACTGGAAAAGATCTTTGAAAACAAATGTTATGCAAACCGTCAAGTTCATGCTGTTTGAAATCCCTTTTCTAGTGTGGAGACTATGAGTAGGCTCACTAACTCCACAGATGCTCCTTTAATCAAAACGTTCAACAGTCACAGATTATAGTTCAGGTACCTAACTGTACACAATTTTTCTTTGGCCTGCCTCAATTTCAATATAATACAAGTTAGCCAATTCTTGTTCATACACTTGGCATGCCAGTGAAGACTATCTGCTCAGCTTCTTGGGGCAACAGGTGCCCCGAGAATAGATGGGGCCTAAGTCTAAGAATCGGGTAAAGCGTTTTGGAATACCTCAATAGTTATAATACATTTACTTTTCCTGACTTTTTATACTGTGTATACGTAGTCAAGACACTCATTGGAAAGTTTACAATAGTAGTTTAGAGGATACTGTTTTTTCACTTCTTTCTTTTTAAATACTAATCAAGTATGTTATCTTAGGTTTTGGTAATAAATACTATTTTCAATAGGGCAATGGAATTCTTGGTCCACAAGGCAAATATAACAAAAAGAATTATAGGCACCATCTCAGTTTTTATTTAAAAGTATTCTGAGTACACAAGTACCTCCTTTTGGTATGAAGAGTCTAGAGGTGTGGGGTTTTAAATTGGTTTTTTGTTTGTTTTGTTTTTTAACTTGTAGCATTTTCAGATGGAGAAGAAAAAAAGAGGGGAAAACCAAAGTTGATCATGAAACTCCAAGAGAAACATTCAAAAACAGAATCGTTAATGAAAACACTAATATGTAAAGAACAAATCTGAAGGTGCAAGATGTCTATTCTGCTGCAATTTGCTAGCAGGCATTAAATATAATTTGAAGTTTTCTAGGATTTTTCAGGAAAAAGTTAAGTGCTTGAGGTTCATGGGCATGAGACCAATATTAGCATGCTCAGTACCCACATGACTGCTGTCTGAAGAATCAGTTGGTCCTGAACTGAGATTATCTGGAGAGGGAAAAAAAATAAGCCTATTAGCAGAAAATAAGGACTACTGGGGCAGTTACAGCATGGTGCCACACTTTTGCACTTCTTTTATTCTACACACAGGTGACCAGATGAGAGTGCAATCCAGTCAGTTTTCAGAAGGATACTAAGGAATAATGTAAAGTTTCAGGAAGACTCCTAACTGGACTGTGTTCAGGCACACAGAGAAAAGCAAATTACCCTAGTGCCTATACTGAAAAGTACTAAAGAATAGGTTGACCATAGGCTCAAGATTTCAAGATTCCAGTTTAAGTATTTGCTACTGCCTCTGTAATAGTCAGTTGTAAAAAAAGAACTTCATAGTGGCAATTAATAATGGAATGATTGAGTTTTAAAAAAAACCTTACTCTATAAGAAAGATAAACTTATGAGAACATCATTTTAACTTACAACTGTAAACCTGATATTAAAATGTCAAGTGTACTATCAATTCTATAAATACTTTAAGATGTTTAAAAGTTAGATATCCCCATATGCCCATTTCTGGGCTGTAAAACACACTCACAGTGAGACTCCTTTTGTATTAGTTTGAACTACATTTTTTCACCTCATCATTAATTAAGAAACAAGCCTATCAAAATAGAAAAAAGTGCAAAGCTTCAGAGATGACTTCATACCTCAATTTACACCCCAATCTTGCAAATTGCCTGTCACAGCCATATTCAGAGATTATGCGATCCCCAGAAATATCCTTGTAGTGGAACATTACCTATAAAGGCAAGTCACACATCAGTACACTTTTTCTCTGCATTCCAAGTGCATTTTGCATTCTGTGGATTGCCCTTTATATAAGGTTATGTTACGTATCTACAAATAACAGTTGTCTAGGATCTTCCATTATTAATGCTGAACGTCTCCTTGATTATCAACTTTCATAATATTTGTTGGATTTATTCCGTTTTCTATTTCTTTCTGATGCGATACTGCTGTGACAAACAAATGGGAAGATTCCATTGGAGAATGATGACTGACATCTGCTTTCACTAGAACTTCATAATACAGGAGATAAAAAACTGGAGTTACTATGCCAATAATCAACATAATCACTACTGCTGTCCACCATCCTATACCCCAGTCTGCTCCGTAGTAAGGATCCCTGCATTTTTTAGTTTTACCATCAGTTTCAAAACAGATCTGTTGGGCTGCTAAAGCAGAAACAACTTCATTCAGATTCTCTCTCTTTGTATCATTAGATTTCACTATTTCTTCTATATCTCGATCGACTTCTTTTAAGAAGTTGCCAGCAGTCTCATTAGCAGAGAATTTATCACAAAGAGATGTTTCCTGTACTTCTGGGGAACACAGAGCAGGCCGAAGAGCTGGTTTTCCTTTTGGAGACATGTGCGTTTCAGTCAATACACTGAACTTTTTCACTGGAATTTTGATAGACCTCAGGGCAAAAAAATCTTGATCGTTGATAAGATTGTTAAGTCTCTTGATATCTGCAACCTAAAAATGAAAACAACAGATATAACATTATACTCCATTGAAGCAAAACTCTCTTAATTGTACTATACCCTTAGGAAATACAAGTATTTTGCAAGGAAGCAAAGACAAGGCCTTTGCTTTTGACCTACCCAAGTCAGCTCTCCTTTTCCATATTCTTGTTCAAAGTGAATATAATTTTGCTCAAATTAAGTCTAAGGCAAGGCCTTTGGTTTTTATTACCCTTACTTTTTCTTTCTGTTTTTTTTTTAACTACCCATTCATACAGTATGAAGTCAGAAGAGGTCAAAGACCAAATGTAAACAACTTTACAGCAAGAAGGAAAACAATTATGACGTAAAATTCCCTTCACTTCAGATAAGAAGACTGAAAATCACTTCACATAGATATATTTACGTGTATGTATGTTCAGCTATCAGTTTGCAACTATCTCTATGCAATTAATAAGACTTCACCTCACTTTACTTTGAAGCTTTCAAATTATGTAAATTACTGTTAATTTCTAACTCAGTGAAAAACTTCTCAGTTAGGAGTTGCTACAAAGAATGAGTTTGCAATTCATCTAGCCACACGTGGTTTTTTGCTGCTTCTGGGAGCTAAGGCAGGAAACAAGTGTAACTTTTAAACTGTCATCTACCTTACGCAAGTCAAATATTCCCTTTCCCTATTCTTGCTCAAAATGCATCTCATTTTGCTTGCTGCAAGTTCAGATTTTAAGTCTAATGTGAAACACTCTGCAGAGATTTAAGTGCCCTGCGATAATCACTGGCTTCAATTTCAGATGGTAACTCCCTCACTATAGAAGGCACAGCCACAAACTTCACCATAATAAAGTACTTCCAAATTAGTGCTTTTCTGCAACACCTGCAAAGCACACAGGAATTGTGCCCATTCGAAGATGCACTGTATCTAAGCTCACACAAACCTTTTTAATGTGAAGAAGTCCTTCAGTTCCTATGGCAGTGTATTTGTTAGGTGTATGATGCTGAATAAATTGGGTAAGAATAAAAGACTGCCAAATGCAACAATTTACGATTCCACCACAATGCAACTTACACTTTCTGCCTCAAGCTCTTCCACATTCTCTTGAATTTGCAAGAAAGAACACAATTTAGTTATCCTTCCTTTCTTAGTGAGGCCTGACCTCATAAACCTGCTCAAAATACCCCATTGCAGCAGGTTCTGAAGCCAACAATTGGCAAATGAGGCTATGGTCTGTCATGATTAGAAGATAGCTGTGTCGAGACTTTAATTCCTAAAGTCACAACAGGAGGCCCCCAATTCTGTTTCTGCCTGAAGAATTAGATGACAGCATATTCTGTATATACAAATTTTGAACTGCCATTGACCTCATGGCACCTGTACACTTAGCAGTCAGTCCCACCAACGCACACAGCTGATTTCCTGTTAAAACTGGAAGCATCAACCAAGTCCAATGCCACAACAGCCTTAATGGTACTGGCGGCCAAAATTACTGGGTAGGCAGGACATTTACCACACTAACGTAAGAACTGAGCTAGAAAGTAGTGAGCACAAAGAAGGGTGCACAGGGTTGTAAAGTTCCCAAAAGTACAGCACAGTCATACTTAAAATACTAGGTCAATTTAGCAGAATTCAAAAGAAAAATACGGAGGATTTTTTTTCCCCCTACTTTGATGGAATTAGGGCTCCAAACCCTTAAGATAGTTCATCAACACCCTCGTCACCCAGCCCAAAAGGGAGGATGGCACTAGATGTGCCGACCTGTGACCGGAGCACAGGTTTGAATGTAACATGTACTGCGAGAGAAACATGTCACAACCGAAACTATGCACACTTATGTTAGTTTTAAGGGGAAAAGCCCACGGAACCGGAACCCTGCGCTGTAACACGAACACTCTGACGTAATTTTCCACTTCTGAGAAACACGGCGCTTCCCACGCGTTGCCTCGGCGAGCAGCCGGCCTGAGACCGGGCACTTACCGAGCAGCAGAACTGCAGCGCGATCGCGTTCAGCGTGTCCCCTTCCCGGATGTCCTTCGTCAGCAGGACGATATCGTCCAGCCTGTCCCTCGACGCGCTCCGCCGGACCTTCTCCCTGCCCCGCGGCCGCAGTTCCGACACCTCGCCCTCCTCCTCGGGCCCCTCGCTCTCCGCGCTCACGAAGGGGTACAGGTGACCGCCACCGAGCGGCTGCGCCACGGCGGGCGGCTGCGGGCCGCTGCAGGCGCCTCTGCCGGCCATGCTCCGCGGGTGGCCCTGTG